CTCAGACTCCCATGGGCCGTGCTCCATAGCAGCGGGTCTGTGTCGATCAAGTCCCAGAGGTTATGCCAGCATAGTCTGTTGTTTCGGTTCAACTTGAGGTTAGGGTGGTGGCATCTGACGAGGAGCAACTTAGACTTGAGAGGTCCAAGAAGTATCATCCTCATACTTTCAACAACTTAGCTTCAGAGGATGCACATGATTTTCTAGAGAAGTGTCACCGTATTCTCCGCACCATGGGTAATGTGGAGACAAGTGGAGTTGCTACCACTGCTATCCAGCTATCAGGAGAAGCATATCAGTGGTGGTGTGGAGATGATGCAGCTTAATTTACATGGACTCAGTTTTTATATATGTTCATGAGAGAGTTTGTTCCCTAGACCCTTCGAGACCTATAGCGCGCGTAGTTTGAGCAACTCCACCAGGGCACTATGTCAGTGACAGAGTATGCTGTCAGATTCAGTGATTTGTCCGAACATGCACCTACTTTGGTTTCTACAGTTAGGGAGTGAGTCTGGCGATTTATCGATGGGGCTCAAATATGGTATTAGGTTCAGCACGCCTAGAGAGTTGGAGATAGATACCCCATATCAGCAGGTGGTAGAGATCGCATGGAGGTTGGAGGGTATGCGAGGCCGTGAGAGAGAGGACAGGGAGGCCAATAGGCCTCGAGGTATAGGAGGATTTAGTGGTGGCCACGCTGTAGTTACAACCCATCATGGTAGAGGCTATGTGAACCGTCCAGTTCATTCATCACTTCCAGCTTCTAATGGTACTCCGGCTATCCCGAGGTCTCAGGTTGCACACTTTGCTCAACTACTTTCTAGCGCACCTCCTGCACGAGATGCCTTCAACAGTCAGTCCAGCCGACCAGGCCCGAGCCAGTCCCAGCAGCCACGCCTATCGAGAGCTTGCTTTGAGTGTGGTGATACCCCTCATATGGTTAGAGACTGCCCTAGGCTCAGGAGGGGTGCACTTCCATAGACTACTCAGGCCCCACAGATTCAATCAGGTCTGTAGACTTCACAGGCCATGGTCGTTGCCTCGGTTTCCACTCCACCCGCACAACTAGCTATGGGTGGTGGATGGACAGGTAAAGGTCGCCTAGAGGGGGTGGCTAAGCCAGATTCTATGATTTTCCGGGTAGTATGGAGGCAGTCACTTCAGACGTTGTCATTAAAGGTATGGTTCCAGTTTTCCATAGAGTTGCATCAGTCTTATTTGATCCGGGATGCACTTATTCATAAGTGTCATCTTTCTTTGCACCATATTTTGATATATCTCGTGATTTTTTGAGTTCTCCTTTTTATGTGTCCACACTTGTGGGAGATCAATTATTGTGGACCGTGTGTATTAGTCATGTTTAGTTGTTATGGGTGGTTTTTAGACCAAAGATGATATGTTGTTACTCAGTACGGTAGACTTTGATGTGATCTTGGGCATGGACTAGTTGTCTCCCTATCTTGCTATTCTAGATTGTCATGCCAAGACTGTGACATTGGTTATGCTAGGTTTGCCACGGTTAGAGTAGAGAGGTATATTGGATTATGTTCCTAGCAAGGTTGTGTCATTTCTAAAGGCCCAGCGGATGGTTGAGAAGGTGTGTGATTCATATCTAGCCTTTGTGAGAAATGTCAATGCAGATACTCATACCATTGAGTCAGTTCCAGTAGTGAGAGACATTCCAGATGTATTTCCAGCAGATCTCTGGGCAAGCCGCTCGATAGAGACATCGATTTTCATATTGATATGTTGTCGGGCACTCAGCCCATTTCTATTCCACCATATCCCATGGCCCCAGTGGAGTTGAACAAGTATCCATTGCCGTGCATTGATGACTTATTTGATCTACTACAGGGTGCCAGAGTGTTATCAAAGATTGATTTGTGGTTGGGGTATCTTTAGATGAAGATTCGGGAACCGGATATCCCGAAGACTCCCTTTAAGATTTGATATGGTCATTTCGAGTTCCTTGTGATGTCATTTGGGCTGACCAACACCCCAGAAACATTTATGCACCTGATGAACAGTGTATTCTAGCCATATCTTGATTCATTCGTCATTGTGTTTATTGACAACATCTTGGTGTACTCCTGCAGCTAGGAAGATCATGAGCAGCACCTAAGGGTCGTGCGTCAAACCTTGAGAGAGAAGAAGTTATATGCAAAATTATCAACGTGTGAATTCTGGCTTGATTCAGTGGCGTTTTTGGGTCATCTGGTGTTGAGTAAGGGGATCAAGGTAGATCTGAAAAAGATTGAAGTAGTTTAGAATAGGCTTAGACCGTCTTCAGCAACTAAGATTCGAAGTTTCCTTGGTTTGGCCGGGTATTAAAGTCGTTTCGTAGAGGGTTTCTTATTCATTTTCAAAACTATTTAAATATAAGGCTCACGCGGCGGTATAAGGAATGATAGTGATTGAATTGGAGAAATGCGAATACGAGGTGGTACCTCGGATGTGATTCTTGTTGTATACGAGGCGGTACCTCGCTTGTGATTCTTGTTGTATAGAGGCGGTATCTCGTTGGTGATTCATGTTGTTTATCTCATGTTGTAAAGAGTTATTGTTAAAACACTTCTTGTTGCTTTTATTCTTCCTTGTCTTATAAGTTAGGATCCGTATTTGACTATGGTGGTTCTCTTTAATTGCTTCCCTTAAACTATCTCCATGCTTACAATCCCGGCATTAGTCTATGTTATTAACTTGTTTTGTATTAGTTATTTCTCCGCCTTCCATTACTTCTCGTTGTTCTATTTTCATTATGTTTATTATATCCTAGTAGGTGTCTTGACCTGGCCTCGTCACTACTCTACCGAGATTAGGCTTGATACTTATTGGGTACCGTTGTGGTGTGCTTATACTACACTTTTGCACATATTTTTATGCACATCTAGATACGTCTGCTTGTGCTGGACATTAGTGATTGGTTGTAGCTGATTTCCTGGCAACATCAAAGTATATCTGCTCGGCATCCACAGGCCTCAAAGTCATCTTCCTTTATCTTTCTTTTCTGATAGATTTCTCATTTAGACAGTGTTGTAGTAGACATTCTAGTTTGTTCTATAGAGCTTATGACTCAGTTCCATCGATTTTGGGAAGTGTGTTGTTGAGATCATATTTGAGAAGGTTATATGATTTTATCAGACTTTCTTTAGTTTTTCTATTAAATATTTATGTCAAGTTATTATTAAATATTAGACTTACCTAGTATTAGAGACTATGTGTCATCACGACATCCTAAGGAGAAAAATTGAGGTAGTGACAAACTAAGTGTACATGAGTATGATTAGCTTTTAAAGTAAGAGTAAGTCGTGGAGTATAAAGATTGTCATACACCATGAGTGAAAGATAAGATAAAGAGTTAGATATTCGAAAGACTATATTCTAAGACTTGTTATGGTTGGTGTGAACATACGGTGATGTTTTTTAGATAGTAAAAGGCACTAGTAATCGTTATGGACTAGATGGACTGAGTATTCAAATTTTTCCTTTGCCTTCTAGTTATTATGTTTTTTAATGACATATGGGAGAATTTTCATAGTTGATATAAACATATGCAAAAATTGAGGAAGGTCCTATAGACATCGAGATAAAGCCGATTAAATACAAAAGTCATAGTGTGAATTTCTATTCTTAAAATATGATATTTTAGGCCTTGTGATGTCTAATAAAAGGGTAATAGATCGATAATATTATGCCTACTAAGGATAGAGCACATGTGACATTACAATTGTCTTTGTTTGAGCAAACGAATTTTATCGTTAGAGTCCTGCCCTTATTAAGGGATTAGTTATCAACTTTTAGAGGCGAGACCTACTTGATAGAAAATAACGATGAAGCACTGTAGCTAAAGAGTTGAATATGCATACAATTGTGGGGGTTGACTTGAGGAGGTTTATACTCCAATGAGGAGGCTTGTACTCCAAGAGATGCAATGTTTATAAAATTTAGTAGCTTCAAGATCACAAATATGGCTTGGAACAAGAGAATGAGAGCTAATGATGACATGAGTTAATATGAGAATTCAAAAGTGTAGTTTTTCAGCTTTTGAACTGTTCATATATTAAATACGAGTGTTAGAGACTCGAGAAATTATCATAAAGAGAGTTAACTCTGAAAGAAAGTGAAAATACACCGTTGTAGACTTCGTGATTAGTCTATCATGTTTGTTGAGAAAGTTATGATCCTAATTTTGCTGATCGTGATAAGCTCATCGAGATCTCATGCCTAATTCAATCTGAATTATTAATGCATCATAATATTCTATAAAGCGATATGATAGGAAAATAGTGCAGTAGTGCATAAGAGTAACAACATATGAATAATTTAGGTCGGGGTGAATAGATGTGTTCTAACATCAACGTACGTAAGAGTATTATGTAGGGGCATATGGATGTTTTCCACCGCGTATGTGAGAATATTATGTAAGAGTATTTGGCTGTGTTCTAGCACAGCCTTATGTAAGAACGGTGAAGGTGTCCCTGTATAGGACTGTGATCGTGATGCTTGTATGTGTTTCAGCGTAATGAAGCCGTAAGAAAGTACATATATCCAGTCCCAATACTAGAGGATGGCTAATATAAAGCATATGATTCATGATTAGATTCTTTTGATCGATTTTGTACTTTATAATTATTACTAGCTTGTTATACGTATCCGGTTGTTACCCAAAGAAGATATGCGGATCTAGCAGCCGCAATTACTTAAGATGTCAAGTATGCATTCTCCTCGAACGAGAGTTTAAATCGGTAGAATATAATAACCCGATATTAATTATATATATACATATAAAGTAAAAGACAGGAGAATACCTGTGTGGCTAAGGACTAGTTTACATTATGTAGGACAATTAATAAGTGGTGACCTTGAATAATTGTCTAAAGGAGTAGCTGGTGGACCCAAGCCCACTTTCCTTGATGCCTCACATTAGATGGCCTGGCCCAAGGGATAAAATAAAGTGTAATAGGGTTTGACATTATCAAGGAGAACATGAAACTGTAAAGAGCAATATTTGGGTAAGCTATTTTGTAGGCAACAGTTACTATTGGAGAATTTCATGAAAAAGCTAAGCATTTCATCTCTCTTGGAACCACTGAAGCTTAAAGAAGTTTTAATTTGGATTCTGTTCTCAACTTCGGCTATTGAAACTTTAAGGTATGAAAATTTATACTTGGTCTCCATATTCGGCTATATATTCTGCTAATATATATGAATTATATCATGAACATTGAGTTGAATCGTAATATTAGAGTATCATTTCGCCTTTATATTCACTACTTGAGATTTAGTTGTAAGCTTGAAATTTAGAAAATATGAGATTTAACCAGTCAATTGATATCAACAATGAAACTTATAGATTGGACTCTATGGCTTATGGGTAGTTCGAAAATATAATTAATTCGGGAATTTTGCCATATTGGTTAGTTGAATTTTTAGTTGACTTTGATTTGATATTCTAAAACTTTGAAATAATTGCGACTAGTATAATTGATATTGTTAATCAATATTTTGCACAGGTTGAGGCCATTGGAGGTTGTTTGGTTGGTGTTCTAGATGTCATGAGGTTGGAAAACTTGTCGCTAGCGAGGTAAGTGAGATTCTAAGCTTTGGTGATTTATTTTCAAAATCTAATTTGAAAGTATGTTTTATTAGTTGGTCCACGTGTTAGGACGAGCATGTGCTTGACAGAGTCTGTGGTCTGTGACAAGCCGCAAATATATATTATTTTGTTAAAAAATGAAAATTATTTAATAAGTGATTTGTGGTGTGACGTAGAATCTTGCTTTGGCGTTGTGGCGTTATAAATTATTTCTTCGCTGCCGTAATATATTTGGGGCATTGTGTATGCCACCATGATAGATCTGGGGCATAGTGTATGCTGTCGTGGACTCGTCAGGGTATTTGATTAAATTTTTCCAACCATTTAAAACAAGTCCTTAGTGTGAATTGTGTTAAATATATAAGTGTATGCTATTAAATATTAGTGTGGACACTTATATTGTAACGATTCGACAGGTCGTTTTGAGTATTAACTTCCTTTTCTGTATTTTGAGACTTCCCGTAACTTCATTTGATGTTTATTGATTTATGTGGGTTGTACGTGTCTCTTTTTTCAGAAAGCTTTGATGTAAAAGTTTGAAGAAAATATTATTTTACATAAAATAAGGCAAGAGTTCACTACGATCAATATTTTTGGCGATTTCGGTAGGTTCATATGATATTTTTGGTTTTGTACGCACGATTGGTTGAGTCCGGGGTGACCCAAGCACATTTCGGTGGATTATGTAAAAAATATTAAAAATAAGTTTTAATATTGAAAATATAGTTTTGATGATCGATTCTTGTTATTTAATACTATTTTGATGATTTGAGGTAGCGAGCACGTTTGTAGAATGCTATTACACATGTGTGAATGTTCGGTTTGGAGCTCGAGGGGCTCGGGTGAGTTTCAGATGTGTTGGGAGTGTTATTGGGCTGTTGATGACGGGTTTCTAGTGTTTCAGGTCTGCAGGTCTCGCAATTGCGATAACTTTTTCGCAATTACTAAGTTGGACTCGCAAATGCGAAACATGTGGAGGGGTTGTTGACTTTGCAAATGTGAAGATAGCATCACAAACGTGATCTTGGGGAGTCGGCTTTTGCGGATACCGTGTCGCAAATACGACTAGAGTTTAGCTTGGCAACCGTCGCAAATACGAAGGTGAGACCACAAATGCGAATGGGGGGCAGGTTCGCTGCTTTGCGACCATTGTAGGTTGGACAATTGTTCGCTTTTGCGAATAGTGGTTCGCGTTTGCGAACATTGCAATTGCGAATAAGAGTTTGCAATTGCGACGTCTGCAGCTGGATAAAAGAGGGAAAAATCGAAACTTAGCTCATATTACACCATTTCTCAATCCCAAACACCCTAGAGGTGATTTTTGAAGAACATTTTCTTCCCAAATTCATTGGTAAGCAACTCTAATTCATTTTCTATCAATTCCACATTACTTTTCATGAGTTTTTTAATATCAAATCTATGAATTTTATGGTAAAAATTAGAGATTTTGGGTAGATTTTTGTGAAAATTAGGATTTAGACCTCAAATTGAGGTTGGATTTCGAAACAAATCACATAACCGGGCTCGAGGGTGAATGGATAATCGGATTTTGGTCCAAATCTCAGATTTCGACCAAGCGGATCCGGGGTTGACAACTAGGTGACTTTTTCAATTATGATAAAAATTCAACCCTTTTCATTCGTGAGTAGTTTCTTAAGCTTGTTTTGAATTATTTGAAAATTGCCGTGGTTGATTTTTATTGAATTTCGAAATGAAGTAAGTATCATGTCTAGCTTTGTTGGGAGAATTTTTCCTACTAATTGATATTTTTTGCTATACGCGGAGATGATGCATATACCATGTGATGAGCGTATATGCATGTGCCAGGGTTTCCATGCTCAGGAGGGGGAAAGTATATGCTTCCTTGTGCCTTTGTTGAAATTGATGATCCCTGAACCTATGCTTCACTTAACTCTATAGCTACTAAACTCAATTATCTATATTAGAAATCTTATTAGAACATATGACATCTTAAAAAGGATTTAATGTGATGTTTACGAGATTCCTTCTCATACTTAACTTGATCGTGGCATCAGGACTTTATATCTATAGATGTTATTTTCATGTTACTTGAGCTTCTTTATCCGTATTGAGAGATGATGATTGGAGCCTTTGCGATACGTTTGGCACGATAGGTATTTCTATGTGGTTGATATGATATTGGCACGATGAGTATTTCCGTGCGGTTGATATAATATTGGCCATGCCGTATGAAATGAGATTATTTTGTTAGTTATTACCATGCGGAAAATAAAGGAAGTTGGATTTCTATTGTGATAACTCATTCATTAAGCACTTTCCTGTCTTTTACTTTGGTTCATATTAATGTTTATTTTCTTGTATGATACATTCCGTTTGAGTTCCTTATGTAGTTACCTATGTGTTTTCCCTTTGGCCTGTACTATTATAGCTATGTCCTTACCTTGTCGAGTATTGATACACCTACACTTTTACTTGATTTACCTTGGCTACTTGTCCTCTTCGAATTCATGTCTTTACTTGTTATTAGTTCACAGATATTGTATGCCTCTAATTAACACGCGATTTACTTGTTAGATACCTTAACCTGCTACATGTCTTCACTCACTATATGCTTTCACTTCCTACATGTCTTCACTTACTATACGCTTTTATTTACTTTGTGCCTTCACTTATTAAAGCATTTACTTGATACATGCTTCTACTTGCTACATGATTACACATATTAAATGCTTTCATTTGATCCCTGTTCTTACTTAGAAAACATCTTTACTAGTTTCATGTTCTACTCTTCTTTGCTTAACTGGATTGGATGACTTTTAGATTAGTTGTGTGTTATGCTTTGTGGAAGCCTTGTCATTATATGCGGTAGACTAGCTTTTGATTTTCGACTACTCATCTCACTCTGTTTGAGTTGTATTACTTATTCGAATACCGCATGTTCTTTTGTTTTGGTGTTATGTTGTGAACTTATCCCGTGTTTGGTTGATGTTGCGGTTTCATATGATATTACTGTATATTAGAATCGGGTTGCACCCCGCAACAGTATTTATGGATATTGTTAGCGAGTTGCACGCCATAACAGTGTTTGTTAATATTGGAATCGAGTTGCACGCCGCAATAATATTTATTGATATTGGGATCGGGTTGCACGCCACTACAATGTTTATTGATAGTGGGATCGGGTTGTATGCCGCAATAGTGTATGTTAGTGATGTTTGGCTATAATCCTCACACATACTCCATGATTACTCTTTCCTTCGTAAAAACAATTATGAGGTTATGACTTGTTTGCCATGTCTGTGAACTTGCTCCATAGCTCTTCAGTTGATGCTCATACTATTATTCGATATATTTCTTGACTTGTTTTTCCTGCTTATTATCTACACATGTACATAGTAAGTGAGTCTCTGTTGACCAAAAAACCTCTTCACTAGTTCACTGAGGTTAGTCAAGATATTCACTGAGTACATGGGGTCGGTTGTGCTCAAACTACACTTATGCACCTTGTGTGCAGATTTTGGAGTTGCGTAGCTGCGAAAGATGAAGCCTTGCACTGAAGACGTTCCATATACAAGCTACCTCTTGTTCATGGTATTTTAGGATTTAAACTCTATTTATGTAATTTCAAATAGATATTGTACTTATTCATCATTTTCGTTTTGTAAATTTAAATCATAGTGGCTCATAACTTGTACTACCATTCCTTGGGAGGTTGTATAAAATTCAGTCATTTTATTCCTTGTTATTAATAATCTATAATTTGAGTTACCTTTTACTATGTTTGGCTTACCTAGCAATAGGGTTCAATGCCAACACGACTAGGTAGTTTTTGGGTCGTGACATGTTGGTATCAGAGCACTACGTTTATAGGCTCTACGCCTCATAAGCAAGTGTTTAGTAGTGTCTTGCATATCAGTATTATGGCATCCATACCTGTCTTCAAGAGGCTATAGGGCATTTAAGAAACTTCCCTTCTTTCTTTCGTTATCGTGCGACCTTGTTTCAGCTTGAAACCTACGAATTTAATTCTTCTTATTCGTGCATATGTGATGTTGAGCGCCAAGTATCATTGTGCACCGATGGCTTGGATGTTGCGGATGAGCTGGGAAGGTTTGTGGATGCTTGATTACTATTGCAAAGTGTTGTCCAGGCTTAGATGCTGATGTTTTGATAGATATTCCACTTGTTCGTTTGTGGGGTGAGGAAGTTTATTATATCTTATCGGCGAGTGTAGACTCGGGAGTATTAATCGGTTTCCTAGTTGATTGTGACCATGGTGGTGCCATGGGGAGGTGTTGATTTGAATCTAGTTGGTGGTTTATTTCCTATGATGAGTTGAGGTCGTGTGTTTCGTATGAGGCTTTTATTCACTGAATGCATACACTATTATTTTGGAGCATTCGAGGAAATCTACTTGACTGTCACAACGATGAGTATGCACTTGGTAGAGTCTTTGGAGTATTTCATGACTAGTGTTGCATAAGTTTATGAAATATTTAGTTGATTAATAGTGCAAGACCGGGGCAGCTATAAAAGAATGGTAATGTGGATTTCTAATGATGTGTTCCATGGCTTTGAGCCAAATGGGGGAGTCTGCTATCAACGATCAGATTATAGGGTTATGTGTTATATCAGTTTCTGGACTAAGGGATGCTCGTGGATTAGTGCAACGACCCGACCAGTCATATTGACTTCGAGTGTGTCGTTCGACAGTTTAGGTTCTTGAGTAGCTTCACTTTATGTATCATGACTTGCACGTGTGGTTGGTTTCAATTTTTGAGGAGTTCAAAGTGATTTGGAGGAGTAATTCTCAATTTGGAGGCTTTAAGTTGGAAGAGTTGACCTAGGTTTAACTTTTGAGTAAACAATCTTGGAATCAAGATTTAAAGATTCCAATAGGTTCGTATGGTGATTTTGGACTTGGGTGTAAATTCTGATCGAGTTTCAGGTGGACCGGGAGTGTTTCGGCGCTTATTGTGGAAAATTGGCATCTTGAAGGTTTTATAATTTCCTTTGTTTGATTTCAAGTGGACTTTGGCATTATCGATGTCCATTTAGAATTCCAAGTATTGGAATATGTTCGTATTATAATTTGTACCTTGTACGTAAAATTTGGCGTTGTTCTAGAATATTAAGTGTGATGCGGAGGCGTTCGGCAAAGTTTGAAGTTTAAAAGTTAAAAGAAGGATTTTGATCATTGATTCGTGGTCTTAATGTTATTCGTGGCATTTTCAGCCTTTGGATAAGTTTGGATGAGGTATTGGTACTTGTTGGTGTGATTGGACAGGGTCCCGGGGGCCCTCAGGGGTGTTTCGGGATGGTTTTGGACCACGTTTGGGTGATTTTCTGGTGCTGGTGCTGGTGTCTGGTGTTGTTCTTCCCGAACGCGAAGGGGTGTACGTGCTCGTAAAGAATGATTTTTGGGCTGCTGGGAAATTGTGCTTCGTGATTGCAATATAGGAGTTGCGAATGCGGAGAAGGACTAGGGTACCCTATGCTAACGCGACAGTGAGTCGCGATGAAGATATGCGAGGGTTGGCAGGTTTTCCCTTGGCGAACGCAAAAGGGCGACCGCAAACGCGAAGGAGGAGGTCTGGGCTGGGGCCAAGTTGGTCATCGCGAATGCGATGGGTTGATCGCGAACGCAAATCTTTGGTTTGGTAGGCTTCCGCGAACGAAACCAGTGGTTCGCGAACATAGTTCGCAAATCTTTGGTCTGGTAGGCCACCCGGGAGCATGGGCCAGGGGTTGACTTTGTTGACTTTTCGAGCGAAGTTGAAAATTATTATAAATTATTAAATTACGAGTATTGGAGTATATTTTGATTTGTTTGCATGTTGTTTGATTAGTTTCGAATCGTTTGACATTAGTTTGCGTGAGAGCGGCGTTGGAGCCGATTATCGGATTGTAGAGCGAGGTAAGTCTCCTGTCTAACTTTGTGAGGGGAAATTTACCTCGTAGGTGTTATGTTTGTTATATGCTATATGTTGTGGGGGCTTCGCACGTATGAGGTGACGAGTGTCCGTGCGTACACTAGAATTTCTAATTAGGTTCGGGTAGATTTAGACTCACACCATGATTTAATTGCATTATTTGAGTTATCTTTGCCTATTTACATGCCTTAATTATCATATATAGCCTGACACTGCACTTCCTTTTACGGATTTCTCCCGTGTTGTACGAATTTGTCCAATATTTTCTTGAATTCCATAATCACACATATATTCGTGAATGGGGCTAGTGACCCATCCAATCTTCACTATTCCTATGGGATTGGGTTGAACACCTCAGTAGTATCATTATGGGATTGGGTTGTTAACCTTGGCATTATTATAAGATGCATCTACGGCTCACATTGGTTGATCGTCGGCTGTGTACACGATTATAGGATAGGGCTTAATGACCTCAGCATGGATTGGGCTATACGCCAGGGTAGGAACTCATGCCATTAATCTTATGGGACCAGGCCGCTCGTATTTTTCATGAGTTAGCATTATAATTGTCGTGCACTGTGTGGGATTAAAAATTTACGAGCGCAAGGCTGTGGTTTGGTTTCAAAGGAAAGGTCATGAGTTCTAGATATCATGGATGATTTTAGGTGTTTAAGAGAATGCTGGAATATTTGGTATCGCCTGAGAAGAGCGCATTCTGTACCGACTTGCGGATGCTTGACTAGTGTTACGGTGATCGGCGGGTTTTGGGCTGCGGAGGTTCGAGTTTTGCTACGTCACGCAGAAGATCTATGTGGGTATTTTCTGTAAGATGATAGAGTATGAGTGATGCATCAACCATTTGAGTAGTGGAGTTGGGATCAGATATGTGGATTCTGGTATTCTTGAGATTTAGAGACTCGATGTTCTCGTAGGCAGACTAATCCTTGGTCGCGGATTGTGAGGATACATTAAGAATTGTATAACTGATGGTATGTGTTATGAATAGATTGCTATAGATTTTTTGAAGGTTATATACCTGTTTGGAAATGATCGGAATTGATTTAGGGACTATTTGTAAGAATAATAAGAATGTGTATTCTATATCAGAATAGGTTTGTTTAGTCTTACGCAATTGCTATTGTGGGTATATTAACGGGCAAAATGAATGTTATTCGTGCCCCTGCCTAGGATATGCCCTTCTCTCTTATGGTATGACGGGATGTGAGGCTACTTGATTATGTGCACGCATGTTGTAATTCTATTTAAGCCTTGTAGCGGTACATGAGCGAGATGGCTCTTCAGATGTTAATTTGCTTATTGCACCCTAGCGGCTCATGCCATTTTCCATAATGTGTTACGTCTATTCACCTCCCCACAGTTATATTTGTTAACTCTATTGTGTTTAATATTGACACACATGTGCTTAGTTAGCACGAGCATCATGGCTCGATGAGTATCCTTATCTGGATTGATAAGTTTGGGATCAGGTTGCGCGCCACAACGGAGTTATGTGGGATATCCTTCCTTATGTTTATTTGATGTGCTCTGTTTTCCCTTTTGTGGGATGAGTTCATGAAACTATATTTTTTTGTTTTACCAGTTGTACTTGTTGGATAGTCCTCGTACCTTGTTTTATTCAATTTTTGAACATATCTGAGTTATTACTTATTTGGTGTATGGACCGCGTTGTGTGAGGTTCCATGTGGATTTTTGTGTTACTTGTCGGTTGGACTGCTGGTATTGGGTGATACGAGGTTTCTACACCTGGGATTTGCACTATCGTATTTGGATAAGGATTGTTCGGGAGGATAATACCATATTTTCGCTTAGAATTTTGCAAAGATCCTTGTCAGACGAGAGAGCTCATCGACTTGTTGAATTATGGGTGGTTACGAGTTTCTGCATGTTTCTTTTATCATTAGCAGCGTTGCGAAGGTTCGGGATGACGTTTCATTTGATATGAGGTATATTACCGGTATCGAGTTTGGTAATGAACAACTATTGTGGTCAGAAGTTATTGTTGTGAGTACTGAGTTATGTGGCACATCGTGTGGTTTGACCTTGGCAGTGTATTAACGGCTTGATGCATCTTGTTGTGATTGATACAATGTGTACATACAAGGATCAGATCTCTTGGGAGGTTTCGGATGTTGGAATTTGGTTCCACGTCTAGTGGGGCTAAGGTCGAAAGAAGAATCTTCGGTCGGGGACATGTTCATGGATTTATCTATACTCATGGTAGCACATGATCTCTCATGGGTAGGGGTATGATGAGTTCATTCAGCTAATTGACGGCTTTGGAGCGACTATTGGCACGTTCGTGGACGAACGTATGTTTAAGTGGGGGAGAATGTAACGACCCGACCGGTTGTTTTATACACTAGCTTCATTTTTTGTGTTCTGAGACCTCCCGTATCTTTATTTGATGTTTATTAATTTGTGTCACGACTCAAAATCCAACCAGTCGTGATGGCGCCTAACACACTTTCTAGGCAAGCTGGACATAACAATAATGCATCATAATAGTAGAAATGACAGAATAACAAGAGCTCGAAACCTCAAAAAAGCACAATACCACCAATACATAATAAAAATCCCCCAGAATTGATAAATACATAGGCATGGGCTATAAAACGGAAATACAAGTCGGAATAGTCAAATACAATATTGTCTAAAATAAGGACAATAGCACATAAGAAAAGAGACGCCAAGCTTGCGGACAAAAAATGCAGCTCTACCTCGTCTCTCTATGATCAGCTCAACAAGTAACTCTGCTACTGATG